AATGTTTAAAAGAAGAAACTGAAAACAGAAAGGATGGCAGGTTCATTCATCACCTCTGCCTTTCTCTCACAGGGGATCAGCCGCTAACTGGAGCCTACACAGTGACCCTGGATGGACGGGGGCCCTCGAGGGTCATATCCAAACATGACCTGGGCCATTTCATGCTCCGTTGCCTTACCACCAATGAGTATGACGGACACAACACCTACCCCTCCCACCAGTATGAGTAGGACCCTGGCCCTGGTTGGGAGAATGGCATCCTGAGAAATGACTCACATAGAAGGATCAATAAATCTTTAGCCAAGAGCTTCAAATTATTTTGGAAAACCCGACCCAGATTTTCCTCTCTGCCTGTGAATTTTTTCAGGGTCTTACACATGCTGGGTAAAGTCTCTGCCACTGAGTAGATTTTAGACAGGCTCCCTGCTGCTGAGACATGCCCCAGACTTTAAATTTTTCTTTTAAGTACATTTATTTATTTAGGGCTGGGAGCGGCATGCTATGGTGCCTATGTGGAAGTCAGAAGACAATTTGATGGATTAGGATCTCTCACATGGATCCTGGGAATTGAACTCTGGCCAATAGTATTAGCAGCAAGCACATTTAGCTCCTGGCATCCCTCTTTATTCATTTATTTATTTATTTATTTATTTTGTTGAATTTAGAGATAAGGTCTTACTGATTTGTCCAAGCTGGTCTTGAACTGTCGATCTCCTGCTTCAGCCTTCAGAGTAGCTAGGAGCGCAGGCCTATCTCACCACACTGAAAATGTCAGTGTTTCTCTGTGTTTGATAGTCTTAGCATTTCACCATTCACGTATGCAGGAAGAGTTGTTTTTGTTTGTTTAGCTTGTCTGTGCCAAGCCCTGTGTTGGGGTCCCAGTGGTAAGCAGTAGGTGTGACAGCCCTGCTGTGACAACCCACATGGGCCAGAGTTTCAGAAGCTCGGAGGCCTGGGGTGACCAGACACAGCTGGGCATAAAGGGCTCAGTGCAACCTGTGGGTCCAGACATCAGAAGACACATATTTCCAATGGTCTTGGGAACTGAGACACCATGTGCTCAGTAGCAAAATTATAGTTACGAAGCAGAACCAAAAAATAGTTTTGTGGCTGGGGGATCACCACAAAGTGAGGAACCATTAAAGGGTCAGAGTACTGGGAAGGTTGAGGAACACTGTCTTAGTGGAAGACAGATAGACATCCACCCTGAAGCCTGCATTGGTAAAAATGTGCCTAGAGAAGAAGGTTCTAGAGTAGGGCAGCATTCCTAGCCAAAGCGATGCAAGACAGAAAAGTACCTGGCTCCTTTGACAAACTAAGCATTGTCCCTTACAGGTAGTGGTGATGCTACATGCCAGGTGTGTAATCCCTTCACTTGGAAGAGGGAGGCAGGGGGATTATCAGTTTTAGATTAGGCTTACAATAACAGTAGAATAACAACAACAGTAGCACTAATATAGTAATACAGTTACAGTGAAGTAGGCATGGTCAAAACTAAGGAGGCTGAATTGTAAAAAGTCATTGTAAAAAAAAAAAAGGCTGTGCTTAGAGCTGACAAGTTGGCTCAGCAGTAAAGGGTGTTTGCTGAGTTCGATCCCTAGGTCCCACATGATAGAAAAAGAGAATGAAATCCTGTAATTTCTCCTCTGATTTCAGCATATACTGCCAGTGTGTGCATGCCACAAATAAATTAATGCGATGTAATGAAAACTTACAAAAAAAAAGCCAAGCTTTGCTGAACATAGTGTCCTACCACCATGATCGTCAGACTTGGGTGCTGAGACAGGAGGGCTGGGATAACTTTGAAGCCAATCTAGGCTATGTAGTTCCAGGCTAGCCTGGATTAAAGGTGAGACTATGTCTCAAAAAGCAAAAAACAAAGCAAGAAGTTTACATTTTACTCACGGGTTTTATGTAAGGAAGGAAATGGTGGAGGCATGGGTTCCTGGAGATGTAGTCTCAAAAAAAAAAAAACACAACAACAACAAAAGAGGGGATTGGAGAAATGGCTCTGTTGTTTTAAAAATGGCGGTGAGGAAGGGGAGACACCATCCTGCCACAGAGCTCAATGGAGAGTTTTTTACTGGGGGAAGGGAATGTGAAAGAGAGGGGAGGGGGGAGACAGGCCTCTGGGGACAGGAGTAGCAAAGAGAGAGGGAGAGAGAGGGGAAAAGGAAAGGGATAGGAGGTGGGCGAGACCCATAGTGAACACGCACTAAGGAAGTGTTCTTAGTGGCTGCAGCTGAGGGCGTATCCTGTCAGGACCCCAGGTCAGGCCCGTGCAGATGCCTGAATACTAACAGGCTCAGCCCTTAAGAGCACTGGCTATGCTTGCCAAGGGCCTGGGTTTGATTTCCTAGCACCCACACTGAGCCTCACAAGTTCAGTTCCAGGGGATGCAATGTCCTCCAGGCACACCAGACAGGCAAGTCGTGCACAGACATAAATACAGGCGAAACACTGACATGCGTAAGACTTTTTAATTAAAATTTAATTGAAAAGCTGAGTGTGGTGGTGCACACATCTTTAATCCCAACACTTAGGAGACAGAGTCAGGCAGACATCTGTGAGTTCAAGGCCAGCCTGGTCTACAAAGCAAGTTCCAGGACAGCCACCAAAACAATACAGAGAAACCCTGTCTCGAAAAAACAAAATGAGAAGTAGGAGAAGAGGTGGGACTATAGCTCAGGGGTAGAGTGCTTTCGTAGCTCAGGGGTAGAGTGCTTTCGTATCACATTCAAAACCCTGGATTCAATCCTTGATTTAAGAAAAAAAAATCATTCCTCCAAGGAAATCCATTAATAGACACACGCACGCGCACGCATATTGCCCAGTTCTAATTGGGTCTCTCTTTGGGATCGTCTGTCTTCTACTATTCCCCTGAGTATTTTTCTCATGCCTGGGAGATCCACTCCCATCTTCCTCTTCCCATCTACCCACGCATTGCCCTCACCCCCCATCTCTGTGCTCCCCTGGGGGAATCCTGAGTCCCACCGGGCCAATGCCAGGAAGACCACAGACAGGTTCAAACCCAGGAGACCTGGTCTGGCCAGCCCCAAATTTGACAGAGCTGAGGAAGCCACATCTGTTCTCAGTGGAAACTTAAACTGCTGGCCTGGAGTTTCACCTCTTCATGCTTTCAGAACAGGGATGTGGGTGTTTGTTGTTGGTTTGTTTTAAACAGCATTTATTTGTTTGTTCAGTGTTCCTGCACTCAAGTGCACATGCATACAGCAGTCAAAGGACAGCTTGTAGGAGTCACTGCTCAACTTCTGTCCCGTGGGTCCCAGGGATTGAACTCAGGTTGTCAGGCTTGGTGACAAATGTCCTTACCCACTGAGCTATGTTGCTGGCCCCCAACAGTGGATTGGCTTTTGTTTCTGTCATCTCAGTTCCTCTTTCTGTAAATTACCTGAGTGTTTAACAAATTTTCACTGGATGCTTGCTCTGTACCCAGCACTCAGGGCCACTATAGACCAAGTAAAGAGAACCAGGTGGGGGCAGGCATAGGGTCAAGGTTTGGTAGGGGGAGGTACGAGAGGCAGCTGCCTAGAACTCTTCAAGCACTGCATGCCTGTGGTCCACAGACATATATGCAAGCAAAACAATCATACCACAAAATTACAATACATATAAGAAGATTAAGTTGGTCATTGGTGGCACACACCTGTAATCCCAGCACTCGGGAGGCAGAGGCAGGCGGATCTCTGTGAGTTCGAGGCTGGGCTGGACCGATAACCTCCAAAACAATACAGAGAAACCCTGTCTCGTAAAAAATAATAATAATAAAATAAATAAAAATAAAATAAAAAAGCAAACCCACCAGGATGGCGATGGTGGCACAGGTCTTTAATCCCAGCACTTGGTAGGCAGAGGCAAGTGGATCTCTGAGGCCAGCTTAGACTACAGAGTGAATTTCAGGACAGCCAGGCAGCCAGGGCTATACAGAGAAACCCAGACTAGAAAGAAAAAAGAAAGAAAGCAAAACCACAAGATTCAGAGTCTGGCAGTCTCACTGCTGAGGGTTTGCTATGCTATGGACTTGCCTTGCATTGGACTCTTGAGATCGGGTTAGGAAAAGAAGTCCCATATTTATTTCTTAGAAGGTATTGGAGCCATTTTAGAAACACTGATAGCAAGTCAGACAAGATGGTGAATGCCTAAATCCTAGCACTTGAAGATAAAGCATGAGGTAGAGAATTCCAGGATAGCCTAGCCTGCATAGCAAAAGTCTGTTTCAGAAAACAAACAAACAAACAAAAATGGCTGGGGCCATAGCTTGGAATCGGAGTGCTTTGGCTAACACTAGCTCGGCTCTGCTCCCTCCCCAACACCACAAAAACCAAACAAAGGGGGAATTTTCTGGGCCTGGGGGGCACACCTGTAACTCCAGGACTGAGGAGATGGAAGCGCGATTATTAGTTTCAAGGCCAGCACCACCAGCAGAGCTGGGACCGCACAAGACTGTCTCAAAACAAAACGAAACCTGAAAATGAGTCCTAGAGACCGGAAGGAGGGCGCCACAGGCCAGATAGTGAAAGGCAAGCTAACCCTTCACTCCGAGACCGTGTCGCAAAGTAAATAAACACAAATTGAAACGCCTTAGGGGTATACAGCTCAGTCCTACTACAGCGCTTGTCCAGAATACTCCAGTATTCAAGCACCAAACCCAAAAAACAAGTTTTGAGTTTGTCCCGAGAGTTGCGAGGAGCGATGAAGAGTGAGCCGCAAGAGACGGGCAACATGAGAAAGGACGGAGGAGCCCAGCAGACAGGCAGCAGACCCCTCAAGATAAAGCAGGGACTGCGCCTTCAAAACGGGTTGGGGGTGGGGAGGCAGAGCGAAGCCAGCTAAGGGGCGGGGCCGCGGTCGTCCAGGTAACGCGTGCCGCATCGCGCTATTGGTTGATAGCTAGTGCGTCATTCCCTCTCCCCCCTCCCTCCGCCTAGCCCGAGCCTTCGGAACTCCGGGGGGCGTGGCCTCCGCCCGCTGCCCAGCTTGCAAAGCCGCACGGGAGGGGAGAGTGGTGTCGCCCGGTCTGGCCCCGCACTGGGGTCTGGCCTCGGTATAAGTGACCTGCGGGGAGACAGAGGAGCGAGAAACACGGCAGGGTCCAAAGAAGCCGTTCTGACGGCGACACCACCCTGGTGACCCGCCGCGCCCCCCCTGTTAGTCGCCAGCTTAAGCGGGACCCAGCCCAGTGGGGGGGCGGAGCCTGGCGTCCGTGGCTCCTCCTAGCCAATGGCGCCCCACGGCGGGCAGGATTCCAACCAATCGTGGCTCGCGACTGGCCTCCGGGGCGGAGCCGAGTGCCCCCCCCCACCCCCCGGCTAGACCCCGAGGCCGGGGGAAAGTGAGCCGACTCCTGCCCAGCTCTGGTGGGACGCGGCGCTGCAGGTTTGCCGGAGACGGTGGTGGCGACCCTGGCAGCCGAGGTGAGGAGCGGCCGCCTGTGTGGGGCTTTTCCTGAAGTTGGAAGAGGAGGAGGAGGGGGCGCGGCGCCCGGGAGAGGCGGAAGCGGGGCAGGGGCCCGAGCGGAGGGCGCAGACCGGTGTGACTCGATGGGCTCCGGAGGGTGGGAGGCTGGACGCTGGGTTCCCGCATCAGCCCCAGAGGGGAGGCAGGGTCGCTCCGGAGGAGAGCGGAGAAGGGACTTGGCGGCAGCTTGGGTCTCCCTGAACGGGCAGAGCTCACGGCGTTCCGGGGGGAGTCTGGGAGTCTTGAGACTAGGATGCGAACCCTGTAGAGGAACCCCGGGACGCCGTCGTGAGAAGGGAGTGCCGGGGATGGGGGGACTTCGGCGTTGGGGCCCTCGGACCCGGGCAGGGAGTTTGGAAAGTAAAGCCGGAGCCCTTGGAAAGCCGAGCCGAATAGGGGAGATTTGGGACGAGGTCTCAGAATTGAGATACCCGGTCCCCCCCGAGCCGGACTACGTAGTCGAGTTATTTATCTTCTTCGAACTGTGCGGTGTGATGTGGGTCTCTGCACCCCGAGGACAGCGTAGGGAAGAATCCAGAACTTCCTGGGGTGGTAGGAACCGGGAGAAAGCAGTTTTCGGGTTGAAGGCGGGTGGGGGAGGGGCGCTCGGGGCGTGGAGCACAGATTCGCCGCCCCGAAGGCAGCAGAGGGCGGGGCTCGGCGGGTGCTGGGCTGCTGGGCGTCCGGGTCCCTTCACCCCCCAACCAGCGCTCCAGTGAGCATGCTCTCAGACGGGGCGGGTGTGTCCAGCCCCTCGGGCGTGCAGGGCCTTCTGGGGATTGTAGTTCGAACGTGACAGCAGCGGCTCTGCCTGGCGTCTCTGGGTCCACAGTTCCCAGAAGGCCCTGAGGACATATTGGGGTGTTCTTGGATCTGATCTAGAGATCCAGGGAAGGGCGGTGCCTGTGAGAAACGACTGTACGGTGGACTTGTCACTAGAGGGCACAGCTTGGTGTTGGTTCAGTTCTGTCCGGTTGAGTGCGAGTTTGACAAATGTTCCCTCTCTTGTGGACGCTCTTGGTCTTGATGTAGGAAGCGGGTATGGACAGAAATATACTTGTAAAAAGAAGAATATCACACACACACACACACACACACACACACACTTCTCAGCTGGGCAAGTTGTTGCACACCTTTAATCCCAGCATTTGGAAAAGAGAGGCCGTAGGATATGAGTTCTAGACCAACCTGATCTACAGCGAAGGTTCCAGGGCTACACAAAGAAACCTTGTCTGAAAAGAACCAAAAAAAAAAAAAAAAAAAAAAAGACCCAACAACCCTAAGGTCTGGAGATGCGGCTACTTGTCTTGCCCTAAATTCAACATTGTGACTACCGCAGGCTTAGTAAGTGATATTCAAGCCAAGCCTAAGTGTTTGCTGATTTGTTCGGGGACTTTTTGTTTTTCTGAGACAGGGTCATCTGACCATGAAACTGCCTGCCCTGAGATTGGCTATGTGGACCAGGGTGGTCTTGAACTCACAAAACTCTACCTGCCCCTGCCTCCTGGTGATGAAATTAATGGCATGGGACGGCATTCACATTTTTTCTGTTTATTTTTGTATTTTAATTTAATGCATTTGAGTGTTTTACCTGCATATATGTATAGGCACCACTTGTGGCAGATCTCCTAAAGTAGAGGCATAGATCCTCTAACACTGGAGTTTTAGATAGTTCAGAGCCATAATGTTGGTGCTAGAAATCAAACTCGGGTCCTCTGGAAGAGCAGCTGCTGTTCATAACCACTGAAGCATCCTTCCACCTCCCTTTTATACTTTGGACACTCTAGCTGAGGATGACCTTGAACTTCTGGACTTTTCTGCCTCCTAAATGCTGAAGTTACTCCTCTCTCTCTCTCTCTCTCTGTCTCACACACACACACATTCAAAATCTCTTTCTCACTGATCTTAGAGTTACAGGCAGTTGTGAGCTGCCCTATGGGTGCTGGGAATTGAACCTGGGTCCCCTGGAAGGGCAATCAGTGCTCTTAACCACTGAGCCACCTCTCCAGTCCTGAATCTTGTTCTCTTAATTACTCTTTCTTAGCCTTGTAGGAGTCTGACTGTATGCACTTTAAGTAGAGGTTCTGATCAAACAAACAAACAAACCCTCCGATAACTACCCAGGCTGGCTTGAAAAAGTGGGATCCAAAGGTATCCAAAGGCAGTACTGTCCCATGCCTTTAATTCCCGCACTGGGGGGGCTGGGTGGTCTACAGAGCGAGTTCCAGGACAGCCAGGGCTACACAGAGAAACCCTGTCTCAAAGAAGCAAAACAGCAAACAGAAAAGGCCAAGGTGTCTGATGTGGCTCTTTTTCCGCAGGACATGGGAGGCTTAAAGAGGAAGCACTCAGATTTGGAAGAGGAGGAAGAAGAGAAATGGCACTGGAGTCCAGCTGGTCTTCGGAGCTACCAGCAAGCCCTGCTCCGAATCTCTCTGGACAAAGTCCAACGCAGCCTGGGCCCCAGAGCGCCCAGCCTCCGCCGGCACGTCCTTATCCACAACACACTCCAGCAGCTCCAGGCCGCCATTCGCCTAGCTCCGGCACCAGCCCTGCCCCCAGAGCCTCTCTTCCTGGGAGAAGAGGATTTCTCCCTGTCCACCACCATTGGCTCTATCCTCAGGGAGCTGGATACGTCCATGGGTGACTTGGCATCCCCTCAGAATCCAGTGGTCCCCCCGGGTCCCCCGGATGATGTGGTGCCCCAGGCTGACCCCGTGTTTTTAGAAGCTCTCAGCTCCCGGTACTTGGGGGACACTGGCCTGGACGACCTCTTTCTGGACATTGACACATCCGCAGTGGAAAAGGACTCTGCGCCTTTACCCCCACAGCCTCCTCCAAGCCTGTTCTGTGCCCCAGGGTCCTGGGAGTGGAATGAATTGGACCACATCATGGAAATTATCCTGGGGTCCTAAGACGCATGGGGGTCCTTCCTGGCATCAGCCTCTTTGACCTGGGTCCTTGGATGTGACTCTTGTCTGTGTGCTTAGCAGAGGCTGTCAGCAGTGACTGTGGCCTCCTTTCTTCCTGTCAGGATTCCACAAACTGCCCTGCATGTGTGCGTGTCTGGTTACCCCAGCCTTCCGTGAAGGTGCGTCTTCTTGAATTAATTTATCTCTTCCAGATGCCTTAAGGAGACTCTGTTTCAGGGAGTCTGATTTCTCACACGTTTCTTCTGCTTCCAGTTCCCACTGCTCTGGTGACCACTAGGGCCTCAGGGAACATAAAAGCTGGACCTGTCGAAGGGTGATGGGTGGGCTGCCTCTCCAGGGAGTGGGAGGGGCTGGTCTCCTCCTGGCAGGCTGAGCCCCACTTCCTTGGCAGGACCCCAGTCCCAACAACCTCCTGATTCATAACCAGGCCGGACCATGTGCAATAGGGTGGAAATCTACCAGCTCCATGCCATACTATTTAACAAAAAAAAAAAGAAAAAAAGAAAAAAAAGGGCAGGGTTTGTAGTGGCTGGTTTATTTTAATTTTATTTTTTGAGTTTTTTTTTAAATAAAAGTATTTTGGAAAGATATGAAGTGTCTTAAATTTGTAAACTTATCCGGTATGGTGGGAAGGGCTTGTCAAGTTCCCTAGACACAGCTGGCCTGTGGTGGTGCATGCCTTTAATCTTAGCACTCAGGAGGCAGAGAGGCAGTCGGATCTCTGTGAGTTGGAGGCCAGCCTTGTCTACAGAGTGAGTGCCAAAACATCCAAGACTATACAGAGAAACTCCATCTCAAAAAGCCAAGAAAAAGAAAAGAAAAGAAAAGATTGATTTTGCCAGGTGTTGGTGGCGCACACCTTTAATTCCAGCACTGGAAGGGCAGAGGCAAGGTGGATCTCCATGAGTTCAGGGCCAGCCTGGTCTACAGAGCAAGTTCCAGGACAGCTAGCACTGTTTCACAGAGAAGCCCTGTGTGGGGGGGTGGGGACGGGACTTAAAAAAGTTGCCTGGGCACTTCCATCCTTAACAAAAGTGGGTCAAGTGTAACATCGTGTGAAACAGTTACCAGTTTGTTTAAGGGTACTATTGGAACTATTTTATGCAAACTAAATCCTTTAATCCTCGGGGTTAGAAAGAAACAGATACTGTGTCACATATCATACTTGCATAGGAAAGAACCTCAGGTTTAGGGACTTGGAGTATAGTTGGATGATTAAACTCTTGCTTAGTACATATATGTATGAGGCCCTGGGCTTGACCCCTATGGGCGGGACACACACACACACACACACACACACACACACACACACACACACACACACACACACAATTTGTTTTGTTTGAAACAATGTAGTCCAGGCTTTCCTTAAACTCATCAAGATACAACTTGGAGTAGATGATTGAACTCTTATGGCTTGACCCCTTTGGGGGGAGGGCACGACAATTTGTTTTGTTTGAAACAATGTAGTGTAGTCCAGGCTTTCCTTAAACTCATCAAGATACAACCGCCTCTGCCTCCCAATGTGCACCGACACCTTGCTAAAGTAGCATTTTGAACCCTGAAGTTTAGAGATGGAGAGAAGAGGGACTGCAGGGTTAAGATTCAAACTCTGCTAGCCTCTGCGGTTGTTTTCTGTTTAGTGCCTGAGAGCCAGCCCAGAGCATGGCGGCTAGCACATTAAGCACGTTACTGCTGAGCCATTCTCTGCCAACGGAATGTGAAGCAGGTACCCTTCGGGTGGGCCATCCTCCAGGCCTCCACGGTAGAGCCTAAGCAGTGTCGTTTCTGCTACCGCAGCCTCCTTGAGAGCCTGTTTACCACGGTGTTTATGATCTCTCCAGTGGACTGAAACTCGGTCACGAGGGTGTGGGTGTGCCTGGGGGCATGTGTCACAGGCTAGGGCTCTCAGGGCCTGAGAAGTCCACCTTTTGTTATGGAACCTGCTGCCCCAAGAGCCCCCACGACTGAGCAGAGATCTCTAAGATGCTGTTCTTGAAAGCCAGTTTGGGTTCAGGAATTCACTCCAGGCTTGAGAGATGGAGAGACAGGCTTCGGAGAGGGCAGGTAAAGAAAAGGGAGGCCAGGAAGGAGTGTCACATGTCGCACTGCCCTGCCCATGCCTAAGTGAGCGTACCCTGCATTAGGGACTTTTCTGGAAGGGTTGCATGGCAAAGATGGGGATTTTTGCTTGTGGTTTCTTGGCTTCCCAACAGATACCTCATTTGGGTGAGGTGGGGGCGGGGCCTTGTCGTGAAGAAAGTGAACAGGTTGTTTGAAAATAAGGCCAATCCAAAAAAGGGATAGGGAGGCTTCAGGAGGTGTCTATGTTCCCAGATGGCGGCCATGTGCTAGGTGTGATGGTGCCCACCTTTAACCCCAACATTTGGGAAGCAGAAGTGGGAAGATCGCAACAAGGAATTTAATGAAAGACTGGACTACATTTGAATGTATCTAAAAATAGTAAGAAGCAGCCAGGCTTGGTAGCCCATGCCTTTAGTCCCAGCACTTGGAAGACAGCAGGAGATGGGTCAGTCTCTCAGTTCAAATCCAGCCAGTTCTGAGACAACCAGGACACCATAGATCTGTCGCAAAATAATAATAATAATAATAATAATAATAATAATAATAATAATAATAAAAGAAGAGGAGGGTGCTGGTATTAGTACCCAGGCATCTGTACTGGCCTGCCCTTGGGGTCCTGACAGGATACGTCCTCAGCTGCAGCCACTAAGAGCACCACCTGTGCACATCTGCTACATTCCCTTATGAACAGTGGGGCTTGGAGGCTGGAGAGATAGATCAGTGGTTAAGAGCACTGCTTGCTCTTCCTGATGGACCTGGGTTCAATTCCCAGCACCCACACGGTAGCTCACAACCGTCTATAACTCCAGTTCTAGGGGATCTGACCCCAATGCACATAAAATAAAAGTTAAATAAATTGTTTTAAAAAAAATGGGCCTCGTCCACCTCCCATCCCTCTTTTTTGTTCCCTCTCTCACTCTGTCTCTTCTACCACTCTTGTCCCCAGGGACTGCTCTCCGCCCTTCTGCCCCTTCGCTCTCCCAATAAACCTCCCTTGTGAGTCCTGTTGTCCAGCATGACTTTCTCTTCACAGCATTTTTTTTAAATTATTGCAACAACTAAGAAATCGTTTTGTGGGTAAAGCACTTGCCAAGTAAGAGAGAGGACCTAACTTGGGACCCCCAGAACCCACATAAAGGTGGTATGCAGTTGCTGGGTGTGCTGGTGCACACCTTTAGTCCCAGCACCCGGGAAGCAGAGGTAGATGAATTTCTGAGTTCAAGACCAGCTTGGTGTACAGAGTGAGTTCCAGGACAGTCATGTCTACCCAGAGAAACTCTGTCTCTAAAAAACAAAAAACAAAACAAGTCGGGCGGTGGTGACGCATACCTTTAATCCCAGCACTCGGGAGGCAGAGGCAGACAGATCCCTGTGAGTTTGAGGCCAGCTTGGTCTACAGAGCAAGTTCCAGAACAGCCTCCAAAGCCACAGAGAAACCCTGTCACGAAAAACCAAAAATTATAAGAGACTGTCTCTGAGGGGAAGGTGGGAACTACCTCAGTTGTCCTCAGACAAAAACAAAAAAGAATGCTAGTTAAATCACTTCTGTTTCTACCTTGGAAATTCTAGCAACTTTCTGTCCCACTCCCTCTGGGTATAAAAACGAGGGTCTGCTCCAATCTCACACCCCACGGCCCACGACTTCCTCAGTTTTACCCCTTACTCTGTTTCTCCTTCACTCAGCTCTAGCCATGCTGGTCTCTGGCCGGAAGCTCATTGCTGCCCCAGGACCTTTGCTCTGCCTGTGACGCCTCCCCAGAGGGGATTTCTCCCATAGCTTCACCACCCGAAATGTCCCCTGCTTTTTCTGGCTCAGTTTTCCATACCACTCTTGTCTTACATCCAGTTATTATTTTTTTTTTGGTTTTGTTTTTTGTTGTTCTCCGTTTGCTTGCTTGCTTGCTTTGTGTTTTTTGCTTTTCAAGACAGGGTTTCTCTGTGGCTTTGGGGGCTGGAGAGATGGCTCAGCGGTTTAAGAGCACTGGCTGTTCTCTGTGGCTTTGCAGCCTGTCCTGGAACTCTCTCTGTAAACCAGGCCAGCTTGGAACTCACAGAGATCCACCTGCCTTTGCCTCCCGAGGGCTGGGATTAAAGGAGTGTTTGGTACTTTTATTGTTGTTGTTATCAGAAACAGCAGTGGCGGTAGCAGGACTGGAACCCAGAGCCTTGCACATGCTCAGCAAGGGTACCGCTAAGCTGCACCATAGCTCTGTTTGACTGTTTTTTTTTTTCAAATATTTTATTTTTTATGTGTATGGGTATTTTCCCTGCATATATATATATATATACATATATATGCATATATATATACATATATATGTCAGTGCACACCATGTGTACGTAGTGTCCTAGTACTGTGGTACCCCCCCCCCCTTGGAGGCTAGCAGGGGTGTCAGATGCCCTGGAACTGGTGTTACAGAGTGTGAGCCACTATTGGTGGTAGGAATTGAACCCTGGTCCTCTGGAAGAGCAGTCCTGTTTTTAACCACTAACCCCTGTGTAACGTGTGTGTGTGTGTATGTGTGTGTGTGTGTGTGTGTGTGTGTGTGAGATGGGGTCTCTCTATGAAGCCTTAGCTGTCCTGGAACTTGCTATGTCAGCCAGGCTGGCCTTGAACTCACAGAGATCTGTCTGCTTCTGCCTCCTGAGTGCTGGGATTGAAGGCGTGCACCACCACACTGGGTATTTGGCTTTCTTAATAGCACCTGTGCAAACCCAGGTTATTTATTACCTGTTCAGGGTTAGCCTCCAACTCTATCGGAAACTCTCAGAGGAGGGACCATGTGGGACTTTGCCCAGCAGTGCCCACCTCCACCCCGCCCCCACCTCCAATGCTAGGCACTGGTGGGTCCTCAAAAATGGTTCGGCTGGGAAGATGCATAAAGGACTGAGCTTGGCTCCCCAGAATCCACCACATAAAAGCTGGTGGGGGCATGGCAGCGGTCTGTAATCCCAGCGTTCTGACAGAAGTGGGGATCCTCAGAGCAAGCTGACTAGCCTGAGAATCAGGGACTTCCAGGTTGGGTTTGCTGAGAGGCCCTGGAGTGGAGAGCAAGACATTCAGAGTTGGCTTTTGGCTTCTGCACACATGTGGACACTTATGATCCCCACACATACGAACACGAGTGCAACATGCACACACAAAAGAAAAATTATTAGTGTGAAAAGGAGCTCCAGGCCTGGCAAGCGCCACAACCCCCTCCCCCACTCTCTGGACATATGCCCTTCCTCCTGCGATCACAGCCAGCATGGCTCCTCCAGACCACCAGATCTAAATGTTTGGAGCTGGGGTGAAGGTGTATGCCTTCCAGTCAAGCATACTGGGGCTGAGGCAGGAAGTCCAGGAGTTCTAGAAGGGAAGTGATGTGCCTGGGTGTGTGTGTGTGTGTGTGTGTGTGTGTGTGTGTGTGTGTGTGTGTGTGTGATTATTCTTTAGATGAAATGACTACAGATGGGCTCATGGGCAGGGGGACATTTGGATGAAGTCCTGAAGGAGGCGAGGGATAGAGCCGAAGTTAGAGTGTGTTTGTCCAATGGTGAAGGCTCTCAGTATGGCTGCAGCGGCCTGGGGGAGGGGTGGGCGCCGAACACCAGAAGAGTGTAGTATGTAGGGTCTGGCGGCTGTCCTCTTGGGAAGGGGAAGCCACTGGGAAACTGTTGAGCTTCAGGGGGTGAGGTCTGACTCACCTTTTTCTTGGAAGTCTTTTACTTCCCTGGGCGTGGTGGCACCAACCCTGCCATCCCGGCACTTGGGAGGTAGGGTAGGAGAATGACCAGCTTTAGGTAAGTTTAGGTTACGGAGAGAGACCGTGTTCAGAAAGAAGCAAATGAGGGGAGGGGGGAGGATGAAGAGGAGGAGGAGGAATAATTCAGAAGCTTGACAGCAGCGACCAGTCAATCTAAGAAGCGCCCCCAATTTCCAGGTGAACACTATGGAGGCTCGGTGCGGCCCAGCTCCTTCCCTAATTAAGAACTGGCCCCAGAAGTGGAAAGGCTGGCCCAACAGAGGGACCAACCCCGGAGGCCAGAGTCCACCTTCCCCAACCCGCCTGCCCCAACGGGACTCCGGTGGGGGATGGGCCGCGGAGGCCCTGGGCGTGGCGCGAAGACTGAGCCCCACCCACCTGCCCACCCTCCGAACCCTGCTGGCCAGCGGGCAGGAGACCTGAGAGCGAGCAGCGAGCAGAGCCCTGCAGCCGGTCTGGCGCCTCCTCCCTCCCCAGGGGCCGGGTGGGGCGGCTGGCTAGGGGCGGGACGCTGCCCCGGACCATCCTTCTTCCCTCCCTCCCTCCCTCCCTCCCTCCCTCTTTCCCTCCCTCCCCAACTTGCGAGCCCCCCCGCCCCCCTCCCGCCCCTTTCCCTTGCCTGCCAGGCCGGTGGCTTAGCCTCTGGTTTCATTTCTCAAGGCCGGGTCTCTCCCTTCCCCCAATCGTTGAATTCCTAACTCCTTCTCCACTTTCTGGTCCCTGCTCCAATGTCACCTCCTCAGGGAGGCTCCCTCGGACCGCCCTGGCTTCAGGCACCTCTCCCCGGGACTCTCTGTCAATCCACCGGGTTCAGTTCAAGTCACTGATCAGAGGCAGAAATCCTCTTTTCCTTCTCTCTCCTTTAGTCATCTTCAAGGGTCTTGTCTCCCACTTTGTAGAATGTGGGCAAAGGTCTAAAACTCCTAGCGACTTCTCTTACTTCCTCTCAGGGCGTTCCCGAGCCTGTTCTACTGGCCTGCCTACCTGACAAACAGCACCCCAGGGTCTCTGCATTGGCTTCAGCATTCTTTCTCTCTCCTTGCTGTCAAGTCTCTGCCAAGTGTCACCTCTTAGTCTTCCACCGGAAGAGTACAGGGCTTCAAGATAATTCTCAACACAGCTCTAGGCCAGCCTGGGCTACATGAGACCCTGTCTCAAGCAAGCCATCAAATGTCATTGAGACATCCCTCTTCTTTTCTTTATTTTCTTTTACGTGTGTTTATTGATTTGGGCCCTGGATAGCTTGAAATCACTGTGTAGCTGAAGCCAGCTTTGAACTCCTGGACCTCCAGCCTCCACAGTGCTGGAATTGCTGGAGTGTGTCACCACACCTGACTTTAGTGTGTGTGTGTGTGTGTGTGTGTGTGTGTGTGTGTGTTGATTTTGAGTACAGCTTTTAATGGATGGGCCATCTCTCTAGCATTATTTGATTTGTGTGTGTGTGTGTGTGTGTGTGTGTATACATGCCACAGCACTTGTGTGGAGGTCAGAGAACTTGAGGAAGTCAGTTCTCTCCTTCCTCCATGTGGGTTTCTGGAGATCCAACTTAGGAAGTCATGTTGGCAGCAAGCACCTTTACCGACTGGCCGGCTTGCCAGCCTATCTTGTTTTTTCCTGTTTTTTTGTTTTTGTTTTTTGGGTTTTTTGTTTGTTTGTTTGGTTGGTTGGTTGGTTTTTTGAGATAAGAGGCTAGTCCCAAACTCCGTTTAAATAGTGCATCCTCCTGCCTCAGCTTCCTGGGTAGCAGGATTACAGTAGTCAACCTGGCTAAGTCTCTTTTTGGTCTTTGCCCTCACCCCTGACTCAGGAAACAAAAAACCATGTAATCTATGCAGAGTTGTTATGCGTGTACATAGCCCATCATAATAGATACTCAATTGATGTAAGTTAAAAAGCAAAACAAAGCCGCTCCCATGAGCTGTTGTGTGTGACCTATGAGCCACTTCAGCCAGCAGCCGGCTCTAGGCTCCTTGCTTGACACTTTCATGTCATAAAGCATGAACTGACCTTGAACTCCTGATTGTCTGGCCTCTGCATTCTGCATGCTGGATGATACTGGTGTGCTACCATGACCAGCAATTTCTGAGACTCCTTTTGGCGGGGCCATAAAAATAGATTATGTAGGGGCCAGAGAGATGGCTCAGGGGTTAAGAGCACTGGCTGCTCTTCCAGAGGTCCTGGGTTCAATTCCCAGCACCCACAAGGCAGCTCGCAACTGTCTACAACCCTGGTTCCAGGAGATCTGGCATCTTCACCCAGACATACATGCAGGCAAAACACCAATACACATAAAATAATTTAAAAAACTAGGCTGTGGAGAGAGAATTGTGTGCATCCACCCAATAGAATTCTGGTTCCAATTAGGACGCTATTCTGTTTATCCCCTTAATTCAAAGACTAACAAGCAGCTACTATTCTCTTACTCTGGTTTTCTGAGACAGGGTTTCTCTGTGTAGCCCTGGCTGTCCTGGAACTCACTCTGTAGACCAGGCTATTCTCTAACTTAGAGCTCTACCTGTCTCTGGTTCCTGAGAGCAGGAACTAAAGGCATACACCACCACTGCCCAGCACTGTTCTCTTATTTAAACAAGATGTATTTTTCTCTCACGTATATGTGTTTTGACTGAATGGATGTCTGTGCATCATACGTGTGCCTGGTGCCTAGGCACCAAAAGAGGATCCCAGACCCCCTGGGAATAGAGTGAAGGACAGCTGTGAGCTGCTACATGGGTGGTGGGAACTGAACTTGGGTCCTCTGCAAGAACAACTATTGCTCTTAATCATAAAGTCGAGACTCTAGTCTCTGCTATTCTTTCTCTCACACACACTCTGTTCTTTTGGGGGGGGGTGTCTTTTCAAGACAGGGTTTCTCTGTGTAGCCCTAGCTGTCTTGGAATTTTCTTGGTAGACTGGCCTTGAACTCAGTGGTCCAAGTGTTGGGATTAAAAGTGTGTGCCACCACACCCACTTTAGTTTTTTCCATATAAGGATAATGTTTGAATCTTTGTTGATTACAGAATAGGTTTGGGTTTTTTTGTTTGTTTGTTTGTTTGTTTTTGGGGGGGTTGAGACAGGGTTTCTCTGTATTGTTTTGGAGGCTGTCCTGGAACTCGCTCTGTAGACCAGGCTGGCCTCAAACTCACAGAGATCCACCTGCCTCTGCCTCCCTAGTGCTGGGATTAAAGGCATGCGCCAGCAATGCCCCGCTCAGGAAAAAATTTATGTATATGGATGTTTTGCCTGCATGAGTGTCTGTAGACCACATATGTGCCTGGTGCCCACACATAGCAGAAAAGGGCATCTGACTCCCTAGAACTGGAGTTACAGACAAGAACTGGATAAACACATGGGTGCTGGGAATTGAACCCAGGTCCTCTGGAAGAGCAGCCAGTGCTCTTAGCCACTGAGCCGTCTTTCCAGCTTCTCCAACTAACTTTTCCAAAGAATTCCTATGAATTCGTGTGAGTGTGTGCATGCCTACAGAAGTCAGAGGACAACTTGAGAGCGTCTGTTTTCTTTTTTTACCATGTAGGACCTGAGGATAGAAATTAGTTTATCAGCCGGGCGCTGGTGACGCATGCCTTTAATCCCAGCACTTGGGAAGCAGAGGCAGGTGTATCTCTGTGAGTCTGAGGCCAGCCTGGTTTACGGAGCGAGTTCCAGGACAGGCTGTTGGTAAAACGTTTAGGTTTATCCAGTAAGGAGACACAGACCGCGACTCAACGATCCCACGTGGAGTTTATTGGTGGACGGGGAGGGAAAAGGGGAGCAGAGAGAGAGAGATAAGAGAGAGAGAGAAAGAGCAGAGGAAGAGGAGTAAGAGAGAGTAAACGGGCAGGGGCCAGTCCCTTAAAGGGGTCCTTTGCACCTGCCTGGTTCTCACGGAACTCTGGGCTGGCCAGAGTGTTGCCTGAGCGCATCCTGCCAGGTAACAGGGCAGGCCAGAGTAATGCCTGAACCTTTCACAGGCTCCAAAGCAATACAGAGAAACTCGGTCTCAAAAAAACAAACAAACAAACAAAAAACCTGAAAACCAAAAATAAGAAATCAGTTTATCATTTAACAGCACAGATGGCCTTACCTGCTGAGCCATCCCACCAGCCCAACATCCTAATTGTTTTTATTTATTTGTATTTGTGTGTGTGTGCCCCTGCTTGGCTGTGTATGTAAGCTGTGGATACAGCTGTCTGGGAAGGCCAGAAGAAGGTGTTGGTCTCCTGGGATTATAGTTACAGGCCATTGCTAGCAGACATGTGGGTGCTGGGACCTGAACCTGGTCCTCTTCTACGAGAGCAGGTGCTTTTAATAATTTCTCTATTTTTATTTTATGTACATTGGGGTATGGCTTCCATGTATGTCTCTGTGAGGGCGTCAGATTCCCTGCAACTGGAGGTACAGACAGTTGTGAGCCGCCATGTGTACACTCAAAATTGAACCCTGTCTTCCGGAAGAGCAGCCAGTGCTCGTGATGTCTGAGCCATCTCTCCAGCCCTGAGCAAGTGCTTTTAACCAATGAGCACCTAAACATTCTACTCTATTCTTAGTAAATCATCAGGCTTTTTTTTTTCAGTGCTGTAATCAAACACAGGTGTTTAACATGCTGGAATGCTGGGAAAGCACTGTTTCACTGAACTATACCTCCCCCGGCATCTTTAACACTAGCTAGAGGCCAGCTGTGGAGTTTAGGCCTCTAATCCCAGCACTCTGAGGCAGAGGCAGGTGAATCTCTGTGAGTTCAAGGCTAGTCTGGTCTACAGGTGAGTTCCAGGACAGCCAGGGCTACTCAGAGAAACCCTGTTTCAAAAGACCAAAAGAAAGAAAGGGAAAAAAAAAAGACAAAACGGAAAAACCCTATAACAAAGCTGGATCTTGATCTGGTGGCAGAAGCCCATAATTCCAGTTACTTGATACGCTGAGCAAAGATGATTGCTTTGTTTTCTAGGCTAACTTGGGCAACTTAGTGAAACTGTCTCAAAAAATACAAAACAACAAAAATTTCGCCTATTTTTTTGGGGGGGGTTGAGACAGGGTTTCTCTATGGCTTTGGAGGCTGTTCTGGAACTCGCTCTGTAGCCCAGGCTGGCCTCGAACTCACAGAGATCCACCTGCCTCTGCCTCAGAGTGCTGGGATTAAAGATGTGCACCACCAATGCCCGCCTCGCCTTTTTTTTTTTTTTTCTTTCATTCTTTGAGACAGTCTCTCCCTCTGGAGGCCAGGATGGCCTGGAACACACTCAAACTCAAAGCAATGCCCTGCTCCAGCCTTCCCATGCTGGGATTATGGGTCTGAACAACCACGCCCTGCAGGAAACAGATTTTGAGGGATTTAAAGTGTTGTCCAAAGTCACACAGCTACTCCGGAACTGATGTCCAGGATGTGTCCCTTATGTCATTCCATCTCCATCGTACTCCGGTCTTTAAATATAGCGGAGTCCAGCTGTCCCACCGTACTTGATTCTGGACAGTGCTCCTACTGAGACAGCACTCTTAATATCGTAACTCTCAGAAGGAAGGTCGACTTAAGAAACTGTGTCCCTCTCCCAGAAGTCATCATACATTTTTTCCAAGCTCAGTCACACATGAACTGATTCGGCCCGAGCCTTAAAAACGTCCGAAGCCCCTACCTGTCACCGCCCAGTAGGGGAAATCGCTACTAGCCTCTGTGCTGCGGGAACGCGCACGGGCATGCGCCTTAGAGACAGCCTCCCTCCCTTTGGAAGGGCCCCGCGCAGGCTTCGCCCACAGCCACCAATGAGAGCGGGTCCCTGCGCGGGAGGGCGGGGCCGCCACGCGAGTGGGCGGGAACTAGGGACTGTGGAGTGTCCGGAGTCGTGCGCCGGAGTCAGAACTGCGTCTACCGTCCCAGGTGTCGGTTGCCGGAGCCGGGCGAGCCAGCGATGCTTCCGCGGCCGCTTCCTGATTGGCTGCGTGTGGCTCCCTCTTCGTTCTGATTGGCCGCGAGTGATCTGGGTATGTAAATGAGGGGGGCCTGGTGGGGGAGAGACGGGGGGTACTGACGGCCGAGATGTTTGGCGTGTTCGATCCCCCGGTTAGGTAGATGTTCGCCGGGCTTGTCCGGGATCCAGGCGCCCGGGGCCTGTACGTGACGCCCGTCCGGGCCGGACTGAGTGAATCACGCCGGAGCCCGAGAAGGGGGCGGAGGCGCCGGCTCCCTGGCTCCGGCTGCGTGACTCACCCGCCCCCGCCGCCGCCGCTCCGGGAGGAGCCGCCTCCGCTGCCTTCCGGAAGCTAGAGAAGGCCCTGAGCGCTGAGCGGCCCGCGGGGGTCGCGGCTCGCAAGGCCCGGGGGGGCATCGGCGAGGCGCCGAGGAGAGGATCCCCGGGTCTGCGGGGCCGGAGTCCCCGGGGACGCCCAGGCCGGGGTACCGCTAGGGGGCGCCTGGACTCGGGGGGCGGAGTCGGGGCGGGGGCTGAATTCCTGCGGTTGCCCGGTCCGGGGTCTGCCGCGGATTTTAGTGTTCGGCCAGGGCGAGGCGGCGTCCCCAGCACTGAGACCCCCAGCCTCTGCGCCCACGGCAGACTAGATAGACTAGGGGTGCCGAGCTCCAGTCTCCTCACCGAGAAGAAAGTATCGATTTTAAACTTCTGTCGCTCTCGCCAGTGAGTTCAGGGTCCGCCGCTCCCTCGCATGACTTTTAACAGCTTAGGCTCTCAACTCGAGCGGTCGGCATCCCAGCGAGCGCAGGAGGCAGCTCAGGCCCGCTTCTACCCCCAAACCCTCACCCCCGACGCCGCCCCACCACCAGCCTTCCCCGGCTAACATCACCCCTCATCCCCCTGCCCAGACCCTCCCTCCATGACCGTCCTGTCACCGAAAACCCAAGCCGCCCGCCTCTGCCCGCGCCTCCTCCCGCCTGCTCCCCACCCCCACCGGGACTCCTACCGTGTCTCCCTGTGCGCTTGCTCCTTGTGGGGCTTTTTTTTTTTCCTTCCCCAGCTAAAATTTGCCTCTCTCGGTCTTCCATTGGCTCTTCCGGGAATGCCCGGCCCTGGTTCTCTATAGCCTACATTGCATACATCGGGGTTCAGATCCAATGTATCTTCTTTACAAAAACTGCCTTAACTACCTCCAGGATAGCATATTCCTAGTTCCTGTATTTGATGATTTAGCGTTTAATGCGAAGCAGATATTCCGTGCACTGAACTGTATAAGTAGGCTGCATTTACAACCAAGAGGTGGCACATACCTGTAATCCTAACACTTGGGAGGCTGGGGCAGAAGGATTGCCTGGGATAGCCAGCCAGCCTGAACTAACTACAGTGTGAGGTCTTGTCTCAAAAGAGCAAAACCATCCAGGCGTGTTGGGCACATCTTTAATCCCAGCGCTCAGGAGGCAGAGGCAGGAGGATCTCTCGTAAGTTTGAGGCCAGCCTGGTCTAGAAGAGTTCCAGGACAGGCTCTAAAGCTACAGAAAACCCTGTCTTAAGAACCAAAATAAATAAACAAATAATAAAAAATAGAAAAGAGCAAAACCAAAAAGCACTTACAGATAAATCCTAGTTATGGGTGTTAAGAGCTTGCTGTTGCTACAGAGGACCCAAGTTAGAGTCCCAGCACCCATATTGGATGGCTCATAATTGCTGTAACTGAGGCTCCAGGAACTCCAACAGCTAGCTTCTTGGGGCATCTGTACTCCCGTGCACACACACACACACACACACACACATACACACACACACACACAACTTAAAAGTAAAATTTGAAAGAACTAGAGACTATGATGCAAGGGCTTTTTGTTCTTTTATTAATCCAATCTGTATAGCAACTTCTAATGTAGATGTGGGCTGTGACTTAGAACTTTACTGAGCGAGCTCAGTTGTAGAATGTTTGCTTTATGTACAGGAAGGCCTGCGTTCTATCTGGTGGCACACACCTGTAATCCCAGGCCTGGGGAGGTGGTAAGAGAGGACGTAAGGTGGTCATGTAGCAAGTTTGAACCCAGCCTGAGTTAGCGATCCTGCCCCATTAAAAATAAAGAAGACTGCTTAGAAAACCTAGGCTAGTAGGTGAGTTGCCCTGACAGCCGTGGTCAGAGCTGGGCGTGACCTGAATATTGGCTCTCTGTAACTGAATGGCTCCTTCCTCCCCGCAGGCAATGCTGAGCAAGGGTTTGAAGCGCAAACGGGAGGAGGAGGAGGAGAAGGAGGAAGGCCTCTCAGTGGACTCATGGTGGTTGGACCAAAGCCACCCCGCGGTGTCACAGACCCCTCCGGCCGCAGCTTCCAGTTCTCTGTTTGACCTCTCGGTGCTCAAACTCCATCACAGCCTGCGGCAGAGTGAGCCAGACCTGCGGCACCTGGTGCTGGTGGTGAACACGCTGCGACGCATCCAGGCCTCCATGGAGCCTGCAACTGCCCTGCCGCCTGTGCCCACGCCACCCACAGCCCCCTCTGTGGCAGACAGCCTTCTGGCTAGCTCGGACGCTGGCCTCTCAGCCTCCATGGCCAGCCTCCTGGAAGACCTCAACCACATTGAAGACCTGAACCAGGTTCCCGAACCCCAAGCCGATGAGGGGCCTCCAGGCCGCTCAGTTGGTGGTGTCCCAGCCAACCTGGGTGCCTTGGACCTGCTGGGCCCAGCCACTGGCTGTCTGCTGGACGATGGACTGGAGGGCTTATTTGAGGACATTGATACTTCCATGTATGACAGTGAACTTTGGGTACCAGCCTCTGAGGGTCTCAAACCTGGCCCTGAGAATGGTCTAGCCAAGGAGCAAACTCCAGAGCTGGATGAGGCTGAGTTGGACTACCTCATGGACGTACTAGTAGGCACACAGGCACTAGAAAGGCCACCGGGGCCTGGGCGCTGATGGGTGGCTGGCATCTGAGTTGAGCCTGACCAATCCACCTTGGCGTGACACAGGGGGCCAGGGTCACTTTGGAGAGACAGTGCTGATCCCGAGCAGCTTACATCCATCCACCTGTCTTGGCCAGCGAGGGAGTTGGGCATAAGTGGAACGACAGGACATGGTGACTGCAATGTGTTTGGGCCAGGCCCAGGCCAGGGGGGTTGGACTGGTCCCCTGGGATAATAGTCTGGGCTGTCCCATCCCATTGTCCCCAGTGTGGGAAGAGACCTCATAAGTTTTTGAAATTAAAACCAGCTTTGGGAAATATCAAGTCTCGTGTGCTTCTGTACTGATCAAGGATGAAATAACATCACACTCATAATCCCGTGACACACCCAGGTTATAGTGGAATAAATGCACGTCCGGCAGGAGATTTCAGGAGGTCTCCCAAAATAAAGCCCCTAGGCTTAGTGGAGCTTCAGGACCTTTCGAGATAGGCAGCTGGCTGGCTTTCTAGAAGCAATCCTGGCCCGGGCAAGCCAGGGCCACCTGCCTGCCTGAGCGCTGTGCTGGGCCTGGAAGGAGCCGGGTGTCTGCGGCCGCCCCCGCGGTCCAGCTGCATTCCTGGCCCTGCTGGGAGGGGCCGCACACTCACAGCCCTGGCACGGGACCCAGGCTGCGTCCTTCCTGGCGGCTGTGGGGGCAGGGTGGGGCAGGGCCCGGGGAGCGGAAGGATGGTGGGGAGGGCAGGGAGGGAGGAGCCTGGGGCTGGACTGCCACCCAAAGGGCAGAATGGGTCCCGGATCCGGGGACAGTGACACCGGAGGGCCACTCCTGCCTCCCCAGGGGCCGGAAGCTTCAAGACTGAGGCCGGGGTGGAGCCAGAGAGGCGGGAGCTGCACGCAGCCCCAGGGGCCGGGAAGGGGCGGGCGGAGCTTGGCTTCCTGGCGAGGTGGAGGAAGCTGTGCCCATTTCTGGAAGTGACTGAGGAGGGACACCGAGAGAAGCGGATGGACATGGCTGCAGGGAGCTGCTCCCAGGTTAAGGATCCTCTAAGCTCCCGAGCCCAAACCCTGGAAACTGCGTGCCTAGACCACACGACATCACCTGCCCCTAGCCGAGACCTGGGGCGCTCGGCTGAGCTCTATTGCTCCCCCTTGTGCCTGGTTTGGAGAGCTACGATGACAGACTGTGGTGTGGGTCTCCCCGCCTTTTTTTTTTTTTCGACGAGGGTCAAGTAGCCTAGATGACCTCTAGCTCCTGTGTAACGGAGGCTGGCCTTGAACTCCTGGTTGGTCCTGCCTTTACCTCCTTCCTAGCTGAGATTACAAATGAGCAGCTGTGGGTTTTGAGATAGATTTGTCACTATGTATACCAACAGGCTGGCCTTAAACTTACCACGTAGCCCATGCTGGCCTATTTTTTTGTCTGTTTATTATGGTAGTAGCCCTGACAGCCCTGGAACTCCATACTTAGGCCAGGATAGCCTTGAACCCACAGGGACCCACCTGCCTCTGTCTCCTGAGTGTTGAGTGAAGGCGGCTGTTACCACGCCTGGCTATTTTTTGAAGCAAGGTGTCCATAATGTAGTCCACATAGACCTTGAACTCGAGTCAATCCCCTTCCGCAGCCTCCAGGGTTAGAGGCACCTTTGACACAGGGTTGCACACAGTGGGTGTCCTGACTACTGAAGTGAAGAGGGAGGGGAGGTGTCGAGGACAGTTTGTATTGCCTATGGGGGGAGCTGCTCTGCGGCTGTCACAGCCTGAATACACAATGGCCGTGTGAAAAGGAGCCACAGTGCCAGCCAGGCACTTTGCTTGGAATGCAGTGGGCCCTGGAATCCGCTGGCTGAGGAGGCGCGTCCCTCTGGAGCGGAGCCTGAGCATCAGCTGAACCATAGTCTGTAGAGCCATCCTGAGGACCTCATACAAACTCACCGCCAAGGCTTCAGCGTCATGGTCCTGATGTGCATATTGTACACTGAGCCAGACTCCCGGCCTCCCGTGCCCCACTTACCCTGTTTTTGAGGCAGGGTCTCTCTACGTAGCCCTGGCAGTTCTGGAACTCACTTTGTAACAGACCAGGATGACTTCAAGCTCAGGGCTCTGCCAGTCTCTGCCCCCTGAGTGCTGAGATTAAAGGTCTGTCCCTGCCACTTAACTTTTTAGTTTGTAGTCCAGGCTGCCCTGGAACACTTTGTTTTGTTTTCGAGGCAGGGTTTCTCTGTATTGTTTTGGAGGCTGTCCTGGAACTCACTCTGTAGACCAGGCTGGCCTCGAACTCACAGAGATCCGCCTGCCTTTGCCTCCCGAGTGCTGGGATTAAAAGTGTGAGCCACCAATGCCTGCCGCCCTCAAACTCTTGATCATCCTGCCTCACCCTCTTAACTCTTGGAATTACAGACCTTCACCACAAAGACCTGGCCCCCATCTGGGTTTAAACCCCAATGTTGTCACTCTGGGGCTGAGTGACCTACCTTTTTTGAATCACCCAGTTCTCTGCAAATTGGACGGTTAGAGGGTTGTTGGCTGTAGAGAGAGGAAGGGATTTATACCGGCTGGGAAATGATGGAGCTCACGTTTTCAGGGGTCTCTGAGCAGCTGAGTTTGTCTTGAATGAGGTAGGAAATTCCACGGCGAGACTTGGACAAGAGCCAGCTGCAGTGGATATGGAGTGTGAGGTCACACTTTAACTCGGGAGCCCGTGGTAGGGTCCCTAGGGAGGTGTGGAACAGCCATAGGGAGGGAAAGGTGACAAAGGACACCATGGGGCTAGCTGTAGGATGGAGCCCAGGGGACAGTAGGGCCACCTACAAGAGTGAGCACCAGAAGCAGGCATGGGGCTAGTGCCGAGCCCATGGACGGACACCACGTGTGTGAGAGGCTGGGAATGCCAAGGAAAAGGACTGGGTCCCAGGGACTGGAGTCCGGAGAGTGAGCAGGGGGAAGAGCCTGATGTCTTCGACAAGGGAGACATTGGTGTCCCTGGGTTGAACTGGGCACCCGGATCCTGCATGACTTAGGCTGGGTCAGGAGGGGGTGGTCCCAGGAGCCGGCTTCTACCTCTGCCATCCCCTGCCATTCCACAGGATATCCTGTGTTTATGGAGGTGACCTGTGCTGTTGCCTCCCCCAGAAACTCAGCTTCCCATGACCACACCTCTTGGGTTAGGGAAAACAACAGAGACAGAAGAAGACAGAGAGACAGAGATGGGAAGATGAGAAAAGAGGAAACAGGCAGAAAATAAGCACAGACCTGAAGGACCAAGACCTAGACACATCATTTATAAGACAGAGCAAGCCAGGACAGGGTTTAAGATCACATGGGAAAGACGGACAGACACTACCAATGCCACCACCACCAATTAAATACAGCAATTATAAGTACACATTTTTTTAAATTTGAGGGAAGCCATGTAGTGGAAGTGCTCGCCTTTAATCCCAGCACACACTCAGGAGGCAGAGCAGGTGGACCTCTGTGAGTTTGAGGCCAGCCTGGTCTACAGAGCGAGTTCCAGGACAGCCAAGGCTACAGAGAAACCCTGTCTAGAAAAACAAAATCAAAAGACAGCAACAAAAACAAAACTTGAGGGAAGTGGTGAAGCTGGATATGGCGTAGGCCTTTAATCGAAGCACGAGATGCAAAGACAGGTAGGTCTCTGAGTCTGAGGCTAGCCTGGTCTAAATGTTGAGTTCCAGGCCAGCCAGGGCTACACAGTAATGCCCTGAGTGGAGCTCCTTTCTCTGAGAGAAGTGGAGAGGACAGCATGTCCTAACTTCCCTCATTTTTGTCTGCTGTTTTGGTTTTTGAGACAGGGTTTCACATAGCCCAGGCTGGCCTTAACCTCAGAATACAGCTCAGGGTAATCTTGAAGCCCGTCTCTTCCTGTCTTCACCTCCTAAGTGCTGGGATTGGGGATTGGGCTATCTGCTGCCACACGGGCCACTGTGGCTGCCTCCGGTATGAGGAAATGAGAATTGGACGTCTGGGTGCCTCTGTGCCGACAAGAAAGAGAGGGTACGGTTAGGTGAGGGTCCTACGCTCACCAGCGGCAACCCCTCTCCTTTCCAGGGTGGTGCTGGCTAGATTCTGGCCACACCCTGTCCCTTGGTGCTTGTCAGAGCTGGAAGGCATTTCCTAGAGCTCAGCACATTCCAGCCTCCCCAGTGGCTCAGAGTGGGCAGGGGGCATTTCACAGAGGAAGGGGGTGGCCCAGCATGCTAGGATCTGCCACCCTGTTCCTGACCCTGTACCCTCAGCATGGGCCCAGAGACCTCCATGTGGGGTGACAGGAGGGTCCACAGAGAGGCCACCCAAGCCAGTGTGAGGGGCCAGAGCGCAGCCCTGGGACCTGGATGGACAATGGGACAGAAGCTGCTGACTATAGCTTTGGGGGTAATCCCCCAGCCTCAGCCTGGCCCCAGCTCAGTGAGCTGAGAACATCTGAGGCAGTGGCCTTGTGGGTGACAGAGGCATGTGGGGGTACCTGTGTTTCCTCTGCCGTGCCCCGGGGGCTGGTGAGTCAGGGCAGGCTGGGGGCTGAGCCAGGGCTCAGCGGAGTGGGGGGGGGGTGAGGTCTGGAGGCTTTGGTTTGGGAGATGGACCCGACTGGCTTTAAGTGCTCGGTTCAGTGGTTGCGGTGTGTGATCTTGTGACCGCTGCTTTCCTTCTTCAAGACTGTGAGTTGGAAGGCCAGACGGCTGAGGCTGGATGTTAGCTTCATCATTTCCTTCTTGGGTAGTTACAAACTGGACATAATGAGCCCACCCTGAGGCAGGGGCAAAGCACTGGGGTCCGGCATACAACCTGGGATATAAGTGCCACTCGAAGCAGTGATTTCATTAAACAGTAAACTGGATGGAGTTCTCCTGTGCCCAGTCTGTGGTAAAAGGCTCAAAGCCCCACCCCCTCCCCCGGGGAGGCCTAGCTAGTCTTTTGTTGTTTGTGGTTTTTGAGACACCATCTCATGAGTCTGGCCCCACACTCAGTAGCCAAGGACTACACAAGGAAACCTCAAACAACAACAATAGCAAAAGTAATTTATCCTTCTTGCCATTTATTTATTTACTTTTGAGAATGTTTTAGAAATAAGTATGTAGCTCTCTCTGGCTGACCTGGAACTCGCTCTGTAGACCAGGCTGGCCTCGAACTCACAGAGATCCACCTGCCTCTGCCTCCCGAGTGCTGGGATTAAAGGCGTGCGCCACCAAAGCCCAACCCCGGCTTATTTTTTAAAGCATTTGTTCTTTATTAGTTCTAATTATGTGTGAGAGTGTCTGCGTGGACAGATGGCTGATGAAGTCAGAGGTGTCGGATACACGGG